CGGAGTTAAAATTCCTACATATTCCAATAATAACTTAGCAAAGATGCGACTTTTAAATAATTTGAGGTAAATGAAATAAACTCAATAATTTACAACAATTGATTTAAAACACAAACATCTACCATGATTTTGAACCAATTGAACCCAAACAACCAAACTAAAAAATAATTTCATTCCTATTATCCTATATTTAACTTCATAAAAAGAGGCTATTATATTATGTGATTTGGGGTGATTAAGTCATATCGACCTGAAAAAAATACCAATTGAAACACAAAATTTCCAATACAATTTTGAACCCATTAACCAAAACAAAGAACATAAATTAAAATTTAAAAAAAAAAAAAAAAAAAAAACTGATTACCTTTTCTTTTCAACACTATTTTTTGGGTAGAATGGAGAGGAATGAAATTTGTGAAGAGAGAGAAAGAGAGGTGAAAGAAAGGTTGTAAAGTGAAGAACAACAAGAAAAAGGTGAATAATAAGAAGAGTTAAAGGTGTGGGGGAGGGTCCCAGTTTTTAAGGGCACATGTTTTGCCGCCTTTTATGTCAATTAAATTGACCAATTTTACCCTTCATTTCAAAATTCAAATGCAAAGTTCCAAAGGGTATTTTTGTAATTAGGTATCCAGCATTTTACATGAAAATGATGGGTTTGTTGCTTTCTTCGTGTCAGGCGGGAAAAATAATGCAAATTAAAGTTTAAAATGGGGTGTCAATTGGGCCAAGAGGGGTTACTATTACAAGGCTTATGATCAATCTACTTTTTGAATTTGATCTCAGTATTTAAATTAATCTTCATCAATGAGATTATAATGGAGTGGATGGATTGATCCTTGGATCATATCATTATCGTTACTAGTTTTGATTTCCCATCATTCAAGCAAGAGAGCCAGTTGCTCTCCATGGTTCTATTTCCCTACCCTCATTCTTCTTATTCACTTTATTAACGCATATTCTTATTACACCCCTTACATGACAGTTCTTGGATTTTTTAGCTTCAGGCCTGAAGTGTGGATACGACATGGGCCCCCTCATAGCCTAGTGTGAAATATTCTTCTTGAAAGTAGAGGGTGAATGACATTTAAACCCGTGACTTTTATGTCATGTTGACTCTTGATACCATGTTCAATGATCAACTCAACCAAAAACTTAATATGATAATTGAAACACAGAATTGATTCATATACTCTATCAAAACTTTGATCAATGGATAAGAAACATGGTTATAATCTTATACTCTTATAGACTTGTAGAAAAGGAAGATCTCCTATTTCCTATTTGGACTTGATAAGGTTGGGCTTGGTCCCATGTTGTGACTTGGAAGTCTTAACATAGTCCATTTGATTCCTTAAGCAACGTTGTGGACAAGTCCAAATATATACACACAAAATGGATTTGATTGATTTAGCTATTTTATTTAAGTGGGCTATGACTAATTAATACTCCCTCCGTTTTCTTTTAGTTGTAACACTTCCCTAAAAAGGAAATGTCACAATACTTGCAACACACTATAAAAGGAAATTTACTTTAGAGAAAAACTATATTATATCCCTTATTTAAAGCATATGGCCCACTAAATTGCACTTCTAACAACCACTCATCCTATTTTAAAGTTTATTATATCATGTAAACCCCACCTTTCTTAATTACCGCGCTAAAGGGTGTGTTGCATCTAAAAGAAAACGGAGGAAGTAAATGATTCTAACACACAATTATTTACTTTGTATTAATTTATTGTACTCCGTACTACATTAATAAGGTGAAAGTAAAAAAATTGTAAGCCAGAAAATTCGAGAGGGAAAAAAAAAGGGGAGGGGGTCATGTGCTTTGTCACATACCCTGAGTCAACGCTGAAGTTTGAGGTTAAGGCCGGAAAGTTGAGCCATGTGGTCTTACACAACAAATTTTGTATTTGGGTGGTCTTAGGCAACATTTTTTTAAGTGGGTGGTTTTTGACAAAAACCAGTATTTGGCAGGTGATTTTAGACAAAATTTCCTAATATAATTTGAGAATTTGCTGGCCTAATGAGTAAATGGGTGAAATAAGGCTCATAGGGGGCTCACCAAACCCCTATACTCATACCTGCATCACTTGCATGTATAGCAAATGTTATCAACTTAGGGTCTGTTCACATTTACTAAACTGAGTTGAACTGGTTGGAGCTGAACTGAACTGAACTGATTGGAACTGAACTGAACTGAATTGGGCTGAAATGAATATTTTATGAGAGAGAGAAATTAAGAGCTGAACTGAACTGATTCAAGCTGAACTGAACTGATTGGAGCTGAACTGAACTGAAATTAAGTAAATATGAACATGCCCTTACTGGTATTAATTACCATGTAATGTGTACAATTGACAAACAAATAACACTAAAAATTGATTCGGTTACTCAAATAAGAATGTCGAATCAACTCTAAGAGATTCAAATAAGATTAATTCAAATGAAAAAAACACAATACTCCATATAATCTACTCCTACAGTCCTACCATTAATCAACAATTTAAACATCAATTCAAATTATTATTAAAAAAAACTTGACTTCCCAAAATATACATTGTACATTAGCCGGAGAACACTAGAAATTGTATGGAAATATGGCTGAGAACAGCTATTAAACATTGGAAATATGGTCGGGCTAATCAGCCTGCTGTCACAAACAAACAAACAAACAAAAAATCCCAAAAATCTGATTTGTAAATTGTTAATTTAATCCATTTATTAATTTGGTAAAAAGAAGCATGACAGTTGTAATCTTGCAATGTCAATGCTTGAAAATTCAAGTATTGTCGACACTCGACAGACATACCTAAGCAGTATCAATTCTTCAAGCAAGATATCTCCTTGGCTCTAAATTCTATGGCAATTCTCCTTTTAATAAGGGTTTTTGTATACTCCGTAATTGGTACAAATTTCAGTCAAATACGAAATGCTCATGTTTTAGTTTTACACGAGATTGAGGTGGTGGACTGGAGGAGTAGTGACATCGCTCCTTCACCTTAAATTTCTCTGGCCTAGGGATATACTAGACCAAGTCCCGAGCTTTTGACAAAATCGAATTGTATGGGAAGCTTTTAATTTGTTACTCGTAGTTGTTCTTGGAGCAACATAGTGTTGTCCATGCATACTACACCGTAACATGACTATAAGCTACTAGTCTACTACCGTATGAGTTTAATTGAATAAAGAACTTATAGTTGTATTGTAGATCAATATAAACTCTTTGCTCTAATTAATGGTTGAGGATATGGTGAAAGTGCAAGATGCATTTATGCATGAACTTCATTTTGAATCTCTTTTACCCCAAAATTTGGCATATTTCCATCTAACACTTTTTCCATTGATTTTGACTTTACACCCCTGCAACAAAATTTCGTGGTTATTCATTGGATGACTTATGTATAACCTATGATATCACATAATGACCTTTTGAACAATTATTCTAAGTCGACTTAAGATATGGTGCTTCTGTGCTTATGATATAAAATTCTCCCCAAATGGCCAAACCTACCTTCATATGAAGAGGCATCTAACTCAAATAAAGATAATTAAGACATATATATGTTGAATCAATTCATCAAAACATTAAGACATGCAAAATATAAGCTAAGTTGAATCAAACGGAACAAAAAAGAGTGAATTTAGCTTAGTAAAGACACCCTAACCGTGATGAGTAATTCGAGCCTAATTTATTTTATTAACCAATCACTCAAAAAAAAAAAAAAAAAAAAAGAAAGATATACTACTACCTCATGTTCGATATCTGGGCTAGAACAAGTTCAAACCCAATTAATTAGTCCAATCAACCCCATTATACCTAATACAAATACCACCTCGGTACCACCTCTCATTTGATAATTCCTCCCATATTTTTGTAATTGTAGGTCTTGTAACAGTTTGATATTTAGGCCTTGTTCTCTTCACCTTAAAAAAATAATATTAAGTAAAAATAATTTATGTTCAGTAAAAATAAGTTCGATTCAGTAAAATTAAGTTCAGTTCAGTTCAGTAAAAATAATTTCAGTTCAGTTCAGTTCAGTAAAATTCAGTTTTCTTAAAGAAGAATTATAATAGAAAATCAGTAAAAAATAATTTCAGTTCAGCAAAAATAAGTTCAGTTTAATAAAATTAATTTAAGTTTTGTAAAATTAATTTAAGTTCAGCAAATATAATTTTGTTTCAGTAAAAATAATTTCAGTTCAACAAAAATAAGGTGAAGAGAACGGGGCCTTATACTATTTATGTATTTTACTTTGATTAGATTTGATGATTAATACCTAAGCAAAAATATAATCTTGTAGGATTTTGTTAGATTTGTCTCAATTTACACTAGTTTAATATGGAGTATCAAATGTTTATAATTTTTACACATAGGTAATTAAAGAAATTAACAATTGAATTCATGTATCGACAAGCGTGAAATGAGAAGTGTTGCAAGTATAGAGTATCAGAGAAAGTAATTTATAACAAAATCATACTCTGTACTATGAGTACATATTTTCTTTTCATTTTTTTTTGCTTGCGGTAACAAAATCAAAAAAATAAGTTGTATGACGTCATCCATAAGAACAATAACCCTAAAATGATACGAAATACGAGCTACATACTATTTTTTTTGTTTTTTTGAATACTATTATTATCCCATTGTTGTTAAAGGAGTAATTATTTTGATAAACTAATTTCCATAATTTTTTGCCAAATGAGAACTATACTTGGGGACTAAGGAAGTAAAAAAAACAGAAAAAAAAAAAAAAAATTCTTAGAGAAGTAATTATTGTACAATGGCATCTTAAGATATAGCCTAGCTAATTTATTGGTGGCAGACAGTTTTTTTTTTTTTAAAAAAAAAAAAATTGTAGCTGACTAACAATTAAACTTTTTATATTTCGATTTATTTTATTTTATTTTTTTTAATTTTTTTTTCTTTTTTTTGTAAATTGTTCCACGACCTATCTATCTATCTATTTATTCAATGATTCCATCATATAAAACCCTTTTGTTTTGTAGCCACCTACCTATAAATACACAACTTTTATAACCAGTAAACTAGCATTTCTCTCATTCAGCAGTCTTTCCCTATTTACCAAACTAAATTAAAACCAAATTAAATCAACTTTATTTTATACAATTTCCAACCATGGGTGAAGAAGTTTTTGATAATAATAATATGTCAAAATTATCCTCCTCCTCCTCATCACTATCACCACACTTTATCTTAGTCCATGGTGTTAGCCATGGTGCTTGGTGTTGGTACAAGGTTCGAGCCCTCCTAGAGACTTCCGGTTGCGTGGTCACATGTATCGACCTTAAAGGGTCCGGTATCGAGCCATCCGACCCCAACCTTGTGGTTTCCTTCCATGACTACAACCAACCTTTGGTTGATCTCTTGACTTCACTCCCTAATCAAGAAAAGGTTAGATTAGTCTTTTTACTATGTCTTCATTTTTTTTTGGTCTCCTAGTCATTTTCGTGGTACAATTAATAGGTAAGGTCTATTGCATCTGATCTATAATAGTTACTATAAATGGAACCACAATAATTAAGAGTGATTAATATATTTGTTATTACTTGATTAAGAAAAATACTAAACATAGTCGTAATAGTCATGAACATATTACTACTAATACTAGCTACAAGAGTATAATCTAGGTTTAACAAGGAATGATTAATAAAATGGAATGATGTCTAAATTCATTTTAATTTCTTATTTTATTTATGATATGTTTTAAGGTAATCCGTCCATAACAATAAAAAAACGAGTAACTTTCAGGCTTCTATTCTTTAACTTACAAAGACCTCTTATATTTTTGTAACGAACATTAATATCTTTAATTAATTTAAGGAGGTCGGACTGTGTATTATTATTATTACGCGGTATTATTTTAATATATGTTAAGGATATGAATTTTGCAGGTGATATTGGTAGGGCATAGTGCGGGGGGAATTAGCGTGACAGAGGCCATACACAAGTTTCCAGAAAAGATAGAAGCTGCTGTTTATGTTGGAGCAACCATGCTTAAGTTGGGTTTTCACTCTGATCAAGATGTTAAAGATGTGAGTTCCTAATTATGCTTTGTGTTATTATTATCATTAATTATTAACTTATTAGGTTAATTAAACAAGAAGAGTACTCCGTATTTGATACGGCGGAGTAATTAATAAAAATATATAATTAATATCCCGTATTTGTATGTATTAGACTATTAGTTGTATACTTGTATAAGAAATCTATTTCCATACAAGACATGCAAAGAGCTAATTTAGGAACTTTGAAGCTCAAAGTAATTATTGGAGATATTAGCATTCCTCAAACATTAATAATTCTGATTGTCTCGTGATTTTGCTATAAATACAGGAAAACATTTTAGGAAGTATATTATGATTTGATGACCATAATTTCATATAGTAATGAGTTTTCCATAATTGACTTGGAGCTTATGATTAATCAATTAGAAAATAAGAGTGATGATATTTCTTTTATGAATTATTATAATTCTTTTACTACTTGTATAGTTTAATGTTCGTAGTGAATTTTATGGAAATTAAAATGTACAATGAATGCATTACAACATATACGAAGTAAATATTTTAAAACGAGCATGAATCTAACCTAGCTAAAAGGGTGTAATATTAAACTTTGTAGATGTTTTGGATTTAAGCAATGAATTATTTTCTTATTTTATACAAAGTATATTAGTATATATGTATCATAAAGTAATTTTACTTTAGAGTTGCCGTTTATAGCCTCGTACACATGTGGTTAAACCTTAATTAGAAGATAAACTAATCCAAACAAAGACAAAAAGTGACAAATTAGTACTAATAAAGTAATAATGGATAATAATCAGGTTTTGTAAAAGATCTCATTACATGACAAAATACCTACAATATGTAACATTTATTCTATACAATTATATAAGCACAAATATATGCACAATCGTGGGAATAGTTGTGGACCACACCATATCCTAACAAACCTAAAAAATCTACCCCAAAAGTCATTATTTCATTTTAGACCCTAAATTCCTTATTTTTAATTAAAATAGTCAAAATTATGTCAGAAATTAGGTAATTTGCTTAATTTTCCATAGACAGAGAAGACTAGCTATAAAATTGGTGGTCCATTGACTTAATTATTTCTTAATTAACTCAAAAATAATTACTCCCTCCGTTTTATAATGTTAGTCCCATATGGAATCAATCACATAAAATAAGAAAACAAATATATTTGGAATCAAACATTAAAGTACAACATAATTCATAATTAATTTACCTTATTTAACTTTTTTGATTGCTAAACGTAACCTCTAGTTACTAATATACACCCCTCCTAAATACCATAAATACCTTTCTAAGCTAAAATATCTTCACGACATTTTTGCTTGCTTTCCTTTCCACCTTCTTCCACACCTAATTTCCAGAAATTTATACCTTTGTTTATTTGAGTAACTCACATAATCAATTAGCGAACAATATTCCGAGATCTAATGAATATGAACACGAATCGGATGAAGTTGGGTGATACACGGAATAGGCTTAATCATTTCATACAATTTGAACAAAATATTAAAAAGTGGTTTTTTTTTTTTGAAGGATGAAAAATGGTTTTATTGATTCTACACATAATAGATTCGTATGATTCTTATCAAATTCGAAGAGGCTAATGTAAAAATCATTACCCATTGCAAATTCAATGTATTTTAAGTTAAATTAATGCACTCTTGTTATTAGAGATTACTTGAGAGGAAAAAAAAATGGTTATTTTCTCCCTACATCTAATAAATGAGTGGAATAGAGGCTGCGCTAAGTAAAGTCAGGTTGCGTTTAACACTCCCCGAGTCATGTCATCTATCCACAATCAATTAATTCTAAAAATATCAAGTTATAAATGAAATATATTCAATATGGGTAGATCTTTTTGAAAAGCCCAAAATAGTATTTGGGACTAACATTATGAAACGGAGGGAATATCAGCTACTACTACTTACAAAAATTAAAAATAAGTTCAAAGATTTTGGAAAAATTTGGAGATAAAAGTATAAAATCTACTGCCTAGATTTTCGTAAATCTAATAAACCCCCAATGATTAGCTGGAAGTGAAGGTACAATCACTGTAAAAAGAAGCATCTCTGCCCTTTTTAGTCACTTGAGAAAAAAGCACTTTGTTCGAATTGACCTATTAATTATTTTTATGCTCTATTACTTTTTTTTCCCCTTTAATTATGGACATGATTTATTTTTATTTTTCTATTTTTCTTTTATTTACACTATCAAAAGTGTGTAAACTTTAATTTCACTTTGAATTCTGTGTTTTTTTTTTTAAAAAAAAAAAAAAAAAAAAAAAAAAGAATTTTATAATCATTTTATCATAATAAGAATGTTTAAGGGGCTAATGTAATATGTCTCCTTGGACAATATCACATTAGGAAAAAGTGTTTAATTTTCTTGACGTAGCTATTAGAAACTTTTACACTAACTTTTTGTGGATTATGCTATCTTACCTAAAAGATATTTGTTTATAAAATTCTAAGTTTTTTTTTTTTTATACTGAAGCAGAAGACCATTTATTTTTACTTCATATTATACATATTGTCATTACTGAAAGCCCTAAGTTGACTTATACGAAGTATGTGATATGGTCGATGAGGATAATTAACTGGTCAATTTTTTTTTTTTTTTTGAGGAAGTCATTATTAGTCATTTAAAACTATTGCTTGTGTCTAAAAATTTGAAAATAGCAACTTTTGTGTTGATTGAATATGGTAGCCAATAATTAAGTCAGCTTATTTTTTTGAAAGAATAATTAAGTCACCTTGTCTTACATAATTTAATCATTCATTCAAATATATGTTTGATTAACGTAGAAGTGATAGATCAAATAATATAAAACCAATCCTGACCTCTTTAATCTTTTGATTAAGTTGATCATCTAGCTGGTATCAGAGCAAATGTGGTAAGAAAGTTACGAGTTCAAAACTCATCCACACTTCTTTACAGAGTATTTAAAAAGGATCATATTATATATAAAAAGAGTCATGTTATATCCAAACTTGAAACACAAATAAATCTAATTAGAGAGAGAGAGCATGGCAAGGTATAAAAGTATAAAACCTATCTAGAAATTATTCAATTCTAACCATTATAAGCTATTATGTTTTTTTTTTCTTGATGTACAACCTCTTTACAAGAATAAATGCATGATATGTTTGCCGGTGATGAATAATAGGGAGCTCCAGATTTATCAGAATATGGCGAAGCACTTGATCTCGGATTTGGATTAGGAATGGATCAACCTCCAACAAGTGCTATTATTAAAAAAGAATTTCAACGGAAAATTTTGTACCAAATGAGCACTATTGAGGTATTTTCACATTATTTTATTTTGATATGTGAACATAATTTTTTTTTTTTTTTTTTTTTAAAAAAGCCCTTGTAATTCCCTTTGGTATTTATGATATACTAGTATACAATAGGTGCATCACATGCAGGGATCCACATAGTCCTAAGAATTGCATCATCAAACATACTAAATTTCATCAAAGTCAATAATAATTTTTACTCTTGTGTAATGCGTGAATGACGTACAAGCAAAAAACTCCTTATTCACACCAAAACACTATCAAAATTATAGTATTTTAAGATATATCAATTAACAATAGAATTAGTTTCATATCTTCTCGATAAGAAGACAAGGGATAAAAGTATTTTAGGAAGCTTAATCATCCACATCGACCATATCACATATAAGTCAACTTAGGACTTGTTCTCATTTACTAAGTTGAGTTGAGATGAATTAAACTGAACTTAATTGTTTATGAGAGAAGGAAATTAGGAACAGAACTAAACTGAGCTGAACTAAACTAAACTGTTTAAGTTGAAGAGAACACGCTCTTATAATATGTGTGAGAGCAAATGTTCGTTACATATATCCAATACATAGTTTTGGTAACGTTACCATTTGTTGTATATACATTAAAGGATTGTACACTAGCGGCGATGTTGTTACGACCATTCCCACTAGCCGTAACAAAGGCACAATCGGAGGAAGGGAAAGAATCGGAAAGGGTAGCTCGGATATACATCAAGACATTGGAAGATAGGGTGATAAAGGAAGAGCAACAAGATGCAATGATAAAGAGATGGCCACCAACACAAGTTTATGGGATTGAAAGTGACCATTGCCCTTTTTTCTCTAACCCACTTGTGCTCGTTGGCTTGCTCCTTAAAGTTGCTACTACTACTACTACTAAATTTACTTTTTAGGAGTACTACCTCTACCTATGTAAATGACTCATATATATTGGACTTTACTTTTAGCATAATTCTCACATGGGTTGTTTGTTTGGTTATTGTTTAAAAGAATATATATCTCTCTAGCTATATACTTATATATTTTTATTTTTTTAAAATGTGAATAGGTCTATTTTGGATCATGTAAGTTGAATAATATTAATGTAGTTGTAATTTACCGGGTTTGATATATAAATTATGTATTATACTTTCTCCATTTCTTTTTAATTGCTACACTTTCTTATTTTGAAAATTTTTAATTAGTCGCAACACTTTTCATTTGTGATATTCTTTTCTCTCTATCTCTCTCCTAACCACATGAGTCCATCTTATTTTTCTCTCAATTTCACTCCTCATAAAAAACTGTCTAGGAGACCGTGAAAATAAAAGTATGACAACTAAAAAAAAATGGAGGAAGTACATTGAATAATTAAATTAAATGTGCATCATACAGTATACCATCTATTTAAAGAAAATAAACAAAATAGCAAACCCTTTATCGTAAATAATAAGAAATAATTAACCAACATAACCAAACCTAAATTGAGCTAAGATATGGACTATTATTATTACATGCAATAATTATCTACCTATATAAGATAATGATGTACTTGAAGTGTTCAAAAGTAAAGGTTCTCAAAAAAAAAAAAAAAAAAAAAAAAAGTTAAAGGTGTTCATAGACCGAGGGCCTATCCTGATTTACTAAACTGAGCTGAATTGAACTGATTGGAGCTGAACTGAATTGAACCGAATAATTATGAGAGAAGGAAATTAGAAACTGAACTAATTGGAGTTGAACTGAACTGAAATTAAGTTGAAGTGAACAGACTCTGAACCGTTTCAGATTTTGGCTTAACTGTGGCTTAATATATGTCAAGCGATTGAGTCTAGCTAGCCTATGAGACCAAAAAAATTTTTTTAAAAAAAATATTCTAATTAACATTCATTTTATAATAGGTCAGGCCGGGCTATTGAGGGTTTATAACAAGGCCATGTTGATCTTTGGCCTAAAAATGTATTTTTGGACTATTTAAACTAACATTATTCTTTAAAACATGATATACTACCTCCGTTTCTTATTAGTTGCAACTTTGGAAACTTTGCGGACTCCTAGACAAAATTTGGTAAGCTAAAATTAAGTGAGTAAATGCAAGCAATTAAACATTGAGGAGAGAGAAAGTGGGGACCAGATTTTCATTAATTGGGGGAGGGAAATCTGTACAGATTTTTTAGGGGGAAAGTTTCTCTCCAGAATTTTTAGGAGAGAGATTGTTTCCCTCTGTCAGATATATTCACCAAATTTAAACAACAATCCCTTCAATTTTCCCACTTAATTTAAGGAGACCATATAAATACACAAGTACAGAACTACAGACCCCTTCATTCAATGAAGTTCACAAAATTCTAACTCCCTCCATTAAACATAATGTCTCTGAAATTATTACAGACCCACTAGAAAAAAAGAAAAAGAAAAAAGAAAACAATTCTTGCAACTCCAGCCTTTAATCATATTCCCTTCAGCAAATCCAACATCTTCAAAGTTTCACTTCATTTTTCTGCATTTGTAAGGAAAACACAAGCATAACAACAATGGATGATGATAATTTTTACAACCTTAATCAGATTTTAATGGAAGGAGAGTTGATGTCAGAGATGTTTTCAGAAGCAGAAGCAGAGACAGAACCACAGACAGATAATCAACAACATCAACAACATCAAATTGTGAACAAAAGGAAGAGGCCAGAGCTTACTCTTACAGAAAAAAGAATGATTGTTGATGCCATGTTAGAAAAACAAATAGATGGTGCATTACCAAGAGGATATAAAGAAAAACTTGCAATAGAATATGGTGTGCACAAGTCAACAATCACTTGAATTTTTCAGGACTTGCTCAAACAAAGACAAGAAGGGGGTGTGGTTGATGTCAGAACAAAAAAATTTGGGAGAACAGGGCCTAAACCAAGAGTGTACTCAATTGAATTACTCCAATCAGTCCCTTTGTATTTGAGGACAACCGATAGAAGCTATGCAAGTGCCTTAAAAATCAGTCATGTCACAGTGCATAGGCTGAAAAAAGGGGGATATTAAGAACTCGCACAGCTACTCACCATCCAAAGTTGACAGACAATCACAAGGTGCAAAGAATTAGGTGGGTTCTTTCACATATTCAACCAGCAATTCCACCTAGAGACCCAACATTTGATTCAATGGAACATGCTGTTCATATAGACGAAAAATGGTTTTATCTCAGTCCAGAGACAAGGAGGTTCTACTTATTGGCAAAAGAAGATGAACCTTAAATGTGCCAATTGTCAAGGAGATTCAAGATAAAGGCCATGTTTATGGGACTCATTTCGAAACCATTATTTCATCGAAATGGTGAAATGCTCCATGATTGTAAGTATGGAATTTTTCCATTTACTTACCAACAAAAGGCAAAAAAAAAAACAGCAAGAACAGAGCAGCAGGTACATGGGAAACAAAAGCACACCAGCATGTAACTAAAGAATTCATAAGGGACATGCTTCTTTACAAGGTTATTCCAGCAATAGTCCAAAATTGGCCACCACAAAAAAGCAAGAACATAACCATTCAATGGGACAATGCTCGACCTCACCAAATCCCAACTGATGATGAGTTTCAGGCTGCATTAACTCAGAATGGGTTCAACATCAAGTTAGTATACCAACCAACACAATCTCCTGATCTGAATGTGCTTGATTTAGGCCTATTTCGGGCTATTCAATCTCTTCAATACCATTCATTCCCAAAAAACATTGATGAATTAATTGAAAGAGTTGAAGAGGCTTATGAATTCTTTGATCCAATGGTGAACAAGTATACTTGGATCACTTTACAGTCTTGTATGGTTGAAATTCTAAAGAAAGAAGGGGGCAACAATTACAAGATACCACATATGAAGAAACAAAGGCTTGAGAATCTAGGGTCATTACCAGATATTTTATATGTCAGCCAGGTTTTAGTGGAGCAAGGAGTGAAGTTCCTTAATGACAGATTCAAACCAGCAAGAAATGAGGGACAAGGAGATGAAGACAACCATCTTGAGGTGGATGCAGACTAAGGTAAGTAACTTACAAATAGGCTGCCACACCTAACCACCCTTTTGTGTAAATATTGGTATGAAAAATGCAAAATCTAGTTGGTTATGTGCAAACTTTTGCTTATTATGAACAAGGCAGCCTATTAATTAGTGAAATGCTATTGCTTATTATGTATTGGGAAGCCTATGAATTAGGGAACACTTTTGCTAAACCTTGACTTTTGGGTACGTAGAACGCATTGTGTATTTTGTTGTTTATTTTATAGAGTATTTACACATTCAGAACAGAAGATTGTAATTATCCATCAGAGGGTCAATATTTTAATCACATAATATGACATCATGTAAGTTACCTCAACAACTATTGCATTAAAAACAATTGGAGCAATTCTTACATGCCATAAATAAATCAATTGAGTCCCTTCATCATATGGATTTAGGGCATGGTAGGTAGTCACGTTTACATGGGACTCTAGAAACAACAATTAAGGGAATCAAGTTAACAACAATTAAGGCACTCTAGTTTCAGTGGTCTCTCATCTAAAATTATCATTGAGACCATGACCCAAACATGATAGAAAATAGCATTTGTCATCATCCATCAACCACATTAATCCCCCACATCAACCACATTACACCCCCAAAGGCAACAAGGCAACAAAGAAATAGGGACTACAACAACAAATAGGCAACCAGAGGTAACATTACAAGAACATGCAACATAAAGAGGGACTACATAACAGGGACTACCATCTTCAGTAAACCAGACAACATTTCGAGGCAAAGAACAAGCATCATATTCAACATACACAAACAACCAGCAAACAACAACCAACACCCCCTGGCTAGCAACGTGAAGCCGCTGGCAACCATATTCAACATACACAAACAACCTCCAACACACAACCATCCAACAATATAACCAGCAATAATGATAGGAATGCTTATGATTGAGAAGAAAAATGAAACAAAAAGATAAGGTTATAGAAATTGTTACAGTGGTAGATAGTTGAACCCCGTCCTCATTCACAACTAGGCCCGATCCAACCTTTTCCTTCTAAGAATTTAGACCAGCAGAGGCAGGAGGAGAAGGCAAAGCCGCAGCTTCTTCTTCATCGGGGTCACATATTTTAGCCCTCTTAGGACTTAGTCTAGCCCTTCGAGGCCACGGCTGCCTTTGTTTACTGGAACCGCTCCCCTCAGTTTTTTTAACCTTCATCGAGGAGCAATTCCCACCATCAACAACACGACCATCAGTCACCTTTTCTGCCCCCAACTGCAATGCGGCAGCGGCTTGTTGTTCCGCTTTTTCATCCTCGACCTCGGCGATAACTGTAAGCAAAGCTTCGAGCGATTTCTCACTCAAAATATCACGACCTTTGTTATGAATGTACAAATTTTTCGCCCAAGGAGTGTCCTGCTCAATGGACTCAATACACTTAACAAGGAGCGCCATTTCTTCATCACAATCACTCTCAAAGATTGCGTCACATAGGGGCTTCAAATTCACCATATTAAAGTGTAGATCTGTGGGTTTTTGAGAGAATTTTGTGCTCAATAATTTCACGATCTGGAGAATTTGTGTGGGTTTGTTGAGGTAGTCGAAGAGATTTTGCGGGTTACATCAAGGGAGGAGAGAGAAATTCATGGAGGAAGGTGAGAGATAATCATGGAGGAAAGAGAAAGAAAGCTATGGAGGAGTAAGAGGATGACCTTACGTAGTAGATGAACTAGGGTTTTCAATTTTCCCCAAATCTGGAAATTTCAGTGAAGTGGTTTGAATCATTGAATAAAGTTGGTTGGTGAATAAATAAGTGGAAAAAGAATTAGGTGGGAATCAATAATTAATGGTGTTGGTTAAATGGTATAATCTGGTCACATTATAAGATGTAATTGAGATTATGATTTTTTTAGTAAGGGTATAAAAGGAAATTTGGCCTAAAAAATTTACCAAAAAAGAAAGTAAAAGAAAGTTGCAACTAATAGGTAGCACCCCTAAATGGCAAAAGTTGCAACTAATAAGAAACGGAGGTAGTATTATATTCACGCTCAATTTCATAATTTTTAACTACGTCAATCAAACAGCAAATGCTGATCAACTCTTTAATGGAATATAATAGAAAAGTATGAGTAACACCACTTACACTAACCATCCTAGCTCGATTTTCTTCATTCTTCATCACATGTCACATCATTAAGATAAACGAAGTAACCCATTAGACATTACATAGTTGATCCAATTAAAGAGAAGGCACCCAAAATTGACCTAATACCAATAATCTTGGATGTGCTATTACTGTTAATATGCAATAATCCATCATCATATATAGAGAGTCAACTCTTATCTAGAAACCAGAAAAACCATCTAGATATTGTCAAAAAAAAAAAAAAAAAAAAAATCTAGATATTGTCTTCCATTACCACTTTCTTAGTGGTTCACTCTAGTCCAAATTCAAAAAATTTAATGCATCTTTCATTGAAGATTCAACTTAGATCCTTTAAAACGTTGTGACAAATAAAATGGGCCAGTAGCCACCTAATAATTTTTTACACTTGAAAGGATTTTGAAAAAACTTATTTCCCGGCCCTAGCTTTTCCACCGTGGATTGGACCGTCTTGTATCCAAAAAGCTAGAGATTATTTGTATACTTGTCAACACAAAATTGGATAGGGGTGTAAGTAATTCGGATTAAAACCGAACCGAACCAAAAACCAAACCGAATTAATAATTCGGTTTGGATTTTTATAGAATTCGGATTGGATCGGTTTGGAAAAATTTAAAAATATGGATTACGGATTGGATTTGGTTTGGGGTTTAAAAAAACCGAAAATCGAATTATAAACCGAATTTCGACCCGTTACTTTAAGCCCATTTTTTTTTTTAAAAGTATCCAACCACTTTCCCCTTTCATATATAAACTAAAAAAATAAATAATTTTCAATTCTCCTTTCTTAATATCTTACTCTCTCACAAAGAATCTTGTTAACAAAAAATGATTGTAGGAATTTTCTGGGTGAAGTTCAGGTTTCGGATTTGAATGTTGCAAAAGAAGGGAACAAATTTCAGTTTGGATTGGATTCTAATTTAAAAAACCAAATTAATTCGGTTTGGATTGGATTGGATTGAATCTTAAATAGGTTTGAATTCGGATTGAGATTTCGGTTTTGGCTATAATCCAAACCACAAACCGAACTTTCACCCCTAAAACTGGATGAGTGCAAAAAGTGCTTTCCATAAAATTGCACGTTATTACATGCGTATAACTACATATAACTACATCCATCTCTGATTGTTAATCCTACTTTGAAACATTTTTTTTAGAAAATCGCTGTTAATGTATGAGACTATGAGTAATATATTGAGGCCAAGGGAATAAATCTCTAGAACTCTAAGAATTATTAAATATAATGATTTTGACACAAAATTCTAAACTTATAGAAACAGTGCTCAATCTCATATTTTCCAATAAGAAAAGTTATACTCCGTATCATACAAGAAAGAGCTTTAACCATTGAGCCAACTTAACTTTACTCTTTATATATACTAAGGCCCTGTTCTCATCAGATTATTTTCAGTTCAGTTTAGTTCAGTTCAGCTCTAATAAGTTAAGTTAAGTTCAGTTCAATTCAGCTCTTAATTTCCTTCTCTCATAAAATATTCATTTCAGTTCAGTTCAGCTCAGCTCAATTCGATGAAAACTGGCCCTAATATTACTATGCATGTGTTGCGAAATGAATACTCTATATCATAACCATAAATTTATGCATTGCTTATATAACAAAGAAATTATAAATTTACAAAAAAATAAGTAATACCACCACTAGGCACTAGGTTAGTCAAAGTGCAACATGTCCGGATTAATTAGTTGGATGATTAATAATTATCTTTTCCTTTTCACAACCTAGCTTAATTATTTTGGCCGGTGAAGTAATTAATGGGTGAATTCACTTTCAAGTATACGACCTTAAATTAGTGCAATTCTCTCTTAAATTCTTAATATCTGACCACTAAACATTACTTCTTACAGTAATATTTGACTAATAATGAATCATATGAACTAATCTTGTATTACCATCTATAATCATCAAACAAGCAATTAAGAACTTAATATATTCTTTGTAACATGTATGCGTGTATTTATATGTTGTACTCGGTAGTCGGCATATTATACATTAATCCAAACCTAGCTAAGTCATAATTTGTTATACACAAAAACGTTACAAAAATGGCAGATGGATGTGATAAACTTAGAGTGCCCTCGAATGCACACTTCGTGCTAGTTCACGGGGCCTGCCACGGCGGTTGGAGCTGGTACAAAATCCGATGTCTACTTGAAGGCGCCGGGCAGAAAGTTAGCTGCCCGGACCTTAGAAGCTCCGGGATTGATCCATCCGATGCTAATACTATTTTTACTTTCCAAGACTATAATAAGCCTGTTGATGATATTTTAGCAGGCTTACCACCAGGTGAAAAGGTTAGTAATATAATATAGTGCTCTGTACCTTTTTTTTTTTAACTTATTAATTTATGCTACCCCTTAGTTAGAATTCCTGGATTCACTGACATTCCACCAATGATCAAGCACTTTTTAGCTCTTAAAATTTACTTGCATTTCACACTGCTTAGTTTAATTATATACTTGTATGATTTTGTGAAATTAGGTGATTTTGGTGGGGCACAGTGCAGAAGGACACAGCGTAACAGACGCGGTCCAAAATCCTCCTGATAAAATTCAAGCAGCAGTATTTGTTGGCGCAACAATGCTTCGTAATGGATTCCAAACTCAACAAGATAGAATTGATGTAATTCAACTAAAAACTTAAATTAATGGTTGAAACTTATGATTAGTTTTATATACTCTATCTATCTACTAGTTTATATACTCCTATTTCCGTTTAAATGTTTAATCATAGGTTTTGGCATGCTTTTAAATTATGTTGAACCAAAAAAATTGAACTTGATTCAAGTAATTTGTTAATTTTTTGTATGATGTTGTAGGGAGCACCTGAGTTGTCTAGATATGGAGATATATACGACTCTGAATATGGTCAAGGACATGACAATCCTCCAACTAGTGTCATTTTTAAGAAAGAGTTTCAACGTGAGATATTATACCAAATAAGTCCTTTAGAGGTAAATTTCACAAGTTATTTGCAAAATTTCGCGTAATAACTAAGTATTTCTTTGTAAGTTTAATCACTTCAAATCACGTAAAAGTTGAAAATTTTTGTTACAGGATTGCACATTGGCAGCAATGCTTCTAAGACTATGCCCAGTCAGAGCCCTTAGTGGGGCCATGTTTCCCGAAGGTAAAGCCTCTGATAAGGTGCCACGTGTTTATATCAAGACGTTGCATGACAATGTTCTATCACGTGAGCAGCAAGATGTGATGATCAAGAGATGGCCACCTTCTAATGTTTATGAAATTGATAGTGATCATTGTCCTATGTTCTCTAACCCTTCTCATCTCTTTGGCTTACTTCTCAAGGTTGCTTCTAATAGTGGTTCTAATGTATTTTAAGACCGTCATTAACGGGTAATATATTAATGTAACTAAGCGTTTATGTACTACCTTCTTTTTAAAAAACCATATACATCATATCATTTGTCTCGATTATTTCATATTAATTGCTTCAGTTCTTCAAATGTCAATGTATGTCATATATATATATATATATATATATATATATATATATATATATATAATGTAATCTCTTATTCTCTTCTCTCTAGACCTATTTGCCTCAGTTTTAGATTACAATACTACTGTATTTTTTTCACCAATCCACATGTAACATCATCATTTATAATTTATGGAAATATTGTTGTTCTTTATCAAAACCTTATAAGTAGGCCAGCAGGGTCGGCTACATGAACAAAATTTAATTATTCTGTGAAGTTATCGACTAAAATCTTCCTCCTCCACCCTAACTATGAATATGGTCAATGACATGATAATCCTCCAAATAGTGTCATTTTAAAGAAAGAGTTTCAACCTGTGCAAAATAATGTTGTGTAACTAAGTATTTCTTTATAATTTTTTTTTTTATTTCAAATCACTCCTAAATGATAATGATTTTAGGCTAATGTTAAAATTTGTAACGGGCCGGATTGCACATTGGCAGCAATACTTTTAAGAAAATACCCAATTAGAGCTCTTAGTTGGGCCATGTTTTCCGAAGATAAGGGCTCTGATGAGGTGCCACGTGTTTACTTTAGGACGTTGCACTTACGTGAGCAACAAGATGGTGAAAATCTTTGTCCTCTATTCTCCAATTCCTCTCATCTCTTTGGCTTTTACTTCTCAAGGTTGCTGCCATAAAATGGTGATAATCTTAATTCATTTTAGGACGGTGATCTATTAACGCAAGAAATATCACTGTAACTAAGTATTTGTGTACTCCGTCTGTTTCTGAATAACCACAACATCACTTTTTACTAAAAATTTGCGTTTCTTGGTTTCACTGTCCGCATTTTGTTTTTCGTTACTCATTTCCATGCAACCATCAAACTGCACCAAAAACCTAGATTATATTGACATTACTAAGACTGGGTTATAGTGATCGAAAAAGGGTCACTTAGACACCCACAATGTCACACATAAAATAATAAGTCAATAACTCAATCTCATTAACCCAAATACTACTATCACAATCAATTCACCACAACATTAAAAACAATAATAATGCTATAGCAAAACAACAATAACGAACATAGGAAATATTTTTATACACGATTTTTAGGTGGAAAACCCTTTAATGTGAAGAGTAAAGTCGTGGGATCATAGAGTAGTCCACCTTAAACTTCTTTTATTGATAATTGAGGGTAAAACAAACCCAAAGTAAAAGTTTATATACCCACCACAACAGCAATAAGAGATGAACAATTGAGAGATAAAAGGTAGGTGTGGAAGTCACCAAAACATGGTATGATAAACCAAAGCTACAAACAACAATGTAACTGTCGAAATAAAGGCCTTACGTGTCCTCAACAAGCTGACAAAATTGCAGCTCGATCCAACGATGGAATTTTTGGCAACATGCATTTTTATGAAAGTTGTCCCTACAGAACAAAACCGCTTAGAGACTCTTTTAAAATTCTATGTCTTCTGTTTGTGTGTGTGTGTTGTTGCTTTCACTCTTCACTCGCCCTTAATGCCCTTGTTTTCATCTAAGGGTTTCTACTAACTAGCACATGGCATTCTCAAGAAGCCACAAAGAAAATCTCAATGTAGATTACAAAACAAGTAAAATGACATAAAATTGGGCCAAATAAAATGGATAAAAAATACAAATAATAATTGTCAAGTTATCCTAGCCCTTAGCCTACCGAACCTGATATATATGTTTATTGTGTAAAACGTGCGATCAATGAATTAATCTTATCTTGGGTACTACAGTGCAAGAAGACCACACATTTATGAATCTATTATTTTTGCCAATGACCTTTAAATACAAACTCGAGTTTTATTGTTAGTAGGCTCATCATCATTCATTTGTCACTTGTCTTACCTTTCCACTCATTTTTAACAACTAAAATGGCACACTTTGTGCTAGTCCATGGTGCTAGTCATGGAGGGTGGTGTTGGTACAAAGTCCGATGCTTACTCGAAAGCATCGGACATAAGGTTAGCTGCCCGGACCTAACTAGCTCCGGGATTGATCCCTCGGATGCTAATACTATCTTTACCTTTGAAGAGTATAACAAACCACTTCATGATATGATAGCCAACCTACCACAAGGTGAAAAGGTTAGTGTACTAATTATATTACTTGTGCTTGAAAATTTTGTTACATATACACATGTTTAACCCGTCTTTCTAACTAATTATTGTAATGATTTTTGTATACTTTAGGTAATTTTGGTGGGACACAGTATTGGAGGAAACAATATAACAGAGGTTCTCCAAAGCTTTCCTCATAAAATCCAATCTGCGGTATATGTTGCGGCTGCAATGCTTCCTAATGGAATCCGGACTGACACACACAGGAAATCCGTACGTTTCAACTTATTACCTTCGTTTTTTATTATTTATTATAACAATTAGACATGTATTCTCTTCACCTTATTAGATCTGAACTTATCTAAACTTATTACACCTTATTTTTTTTGTAAGAGCTTATTGAAACTTATTAGACCTGATTAAACATATTGACATTTATTGGACCTGATTAGACATTATTATTATTATCAATTATTAGCTACATATTAATAAGGATTAACAATTTTAATTTCGGTCTTCTTTAATGGATTAGTTATCGTATTTGACATACTCTAAGATTGTACAAAGTACTTTATTGGATGATGCAATAATCCTTATTAAATACCAGTAACGTTTTTAAAAGGATTGTACTCTCTAAATTTATGTATATAATTTTTGTGTTTATAATCTTGTAGGTGATGCCTTACATGCCTGGGGCAGATGTATTTGACTATATTTTTGGTGAAGGACCAGGCAAACCTCCTACTAGTGGCATTTACAAGAAAGAAGTTCGGCGTCCGTTATTGTACTCAATGTGTCCTTTAGAGGTACTCTTTTACAGTTATTGGCAAAATATTTGTATATACTTCATCAACTTACCAATGTTAAATTCCTTTCTTTCACACGAGCTAAAATTAAGTACGGAGTATATAGGAACATATTATCAAACATATATAAGTATGTTTTTTGTCAAAAGAAACATGTTCTTTTTCAAACACTAGTATGCATGTTCTTTTTCAAACACTAATTTGTTTGTTTGTTTTTTTTTTTACCCATATTCTTTAAAATATGTCTAATATTCTTTCCGGGTACACCATGTGCATGGAACACCCGGGTGCACTATATTATTTTCACTTTCACACGGAGTATCACATGATTTTCCGTGAGAGTACAGATAGTTCAAGTAGTTAGGCTTACTTCCTGATTTTAGGAGATCCTAGGATCGATTCTCATCACCCCTGTCCTTATGACTCTCTAAACACTAAATAAAATATATCACTTTACTCCGTATTTTATTTTAATTGGACTATTTAGTATTCACACACATATTGTTTTCTATAATTGTTAATTCCTCAAAACCTCGATTATTTTAACAAATTTGCTCAAACTTCTAATTTTTTTTGTAAAGGAGATCTTGTCTAATTTTATTAAGGTTTAACTAAATTTTGATTATCAGGTTTGGTTTGATCTGATTTATTAATTTGAATTGACTAAATTTTGATTGCGTTTTGATACTAATTTTTTTAAAGAAAAACAGTTTCCAATTGAATCTTGTTAGCTTTGTATTAGCATACTTTTTTCATTTGTGTAATTTTCATAATTTATTTAATAAGTAATTAACAATATTTCTAAATAAGTAAATTATAATTAAAAATTTTGATTTGATGTGATCTAATATGAATTTATTTAGAATAATTAATAAGTGTATGAAAAAAGTTGAAGATAACAAGTCATTGGTGTATATTAGGCAATAGCCAATAGGCATGTTGTATTTTACAATAGGTTTAATAAGGCCTTGTTCATTCACTTCACCTTAAAAAAATAAAATTAAGTAAAAATAATTTCAGTTCAATAAAAATAAGTTCAGTTCAGTAAAATTAATTTCAATTCAATAAAAATAATTTCAATTCAGTAAAAATAAGTTCAGTTCAGTAAATTTATGTTATCTTAAAGAAGAATTAGGTCATGTTCACTTCACCTTAAAAAAAATAATATTCAGTAAAAATAAGTTTAGTTCAGTAAAATTAATTTCAGTTTAGTAAAAATAATATCAGTTCAGTAAAATTTAGTATCTTAAAGAAGAACTATAATAGAAAATAAGTAAAAATAATTTCAGTTCAGCAAATTCAGTTCAGTAAAATTATTTTAAGTTCAGTAAAAATAATTTAAGTTCGGCAAATATAATTTTGTTTCAGTAAAAATAATTTCAGTTCAGCAAAAATAAGGTAAAGTGAACGAGGCCTTATAATAGAAAATCAGTAAAAAAAAATATTCAGTTCGGCAAAAATAATTTCAGTTTGGTAAAATTAATTTAAGTTTAGTAAAAATAATTTAAGCTCAGCAAATATAATTTTGTTTCATTAAAAATAATTTAAGTTCAGCAAATATAATTTTGTTTCAGTAAAAATAATTTCAGTTCAGAAAAAATAAGGTGAAGTGAACGGGGCCTAACTTTAAGAAACTTTATTCATAAATAATTATTTTAATTTTCTGATTTTTAAAAATTATTTTTAACAAATGGGTATTATTTGTGATTTAGGTCCTATTCACTTCACCTTACAAAAATAATTTCAATTCCATCTAAATAAATTTATTTCTATAAAAATAAATTTAGTTCAGTAAAAATAAGTCCAGTTCAGTAAAATTCAATAACTTTACAGAAAAATTATAGTAATAGAAAATCAATTAAAAAAATAATTTCAGTTCAGCAAATATAATTTCGGTTTAGTAAAAATAATTTTAGTTCAACAAAAATAAAATAAAGTGAACATAATCTTTAAAATAGCTAAATTAATTAAATTTACTACGAGTCTACGATACAATATACCGTTAGTTTATATTGTACGTAAGATTAGAAAATGTTTTATGGTACAGGATTACACACTAGCAGGAATGCTTCTAAGACAAAGTCCGGTTAGAGCTATCGCTGACGCCGGATTTCCCGACGGCGAGGGCTCCGATAAGGTGCCACGTGTTTACATCAGGACGTTGCATGACAATCTCCTTTCACCTGAGCAACATGAAAATTTGATCAATAACTGGCCACCGTCCGAAGTTTATGACATTGATAGTGATCATTCACCCATGCTTTCCAACCCTACTCAATTATTTGGGTTACTTGTTAAGGTTGCTACTAAATGGTATTAGATGATATAAGACGTGTTTATCCAATGCATAATAAAGGGGAGATGTCGTCGATCTTTTTCATCAGTCTTGTATTAACACTTTCTTTCTATGTCACGTCAGCTTTCTAATATCGAACTTATACTACTATGTAATAATTTAAGATTTTATTAAACTCGACCAAATCTATATCTCCATCCTTCATAATTTTTGGATCCGATCCGAAAATTCGGATATCCGAAATTTTCGGATTGGAGAATTGCGATCCGAAATTTTCGGATATCCGAATTTTCGGATCGGGTAGTTAAAATTTTCGGACAAAATCCGATCCGAAAATCCGATTTTTTTTTTCGGATATTCGATCCGAAATATCCGAAACCTTAAAAATCAAATCGGATATCCGAATTTTCGGATCGAATCATCGAATTTTCGGATCGGATATTTTTGAACACCCCTACTTCATATATATTCATTCATGGTTTCTCAATTGTTTATTTATTGTTTTTTTTTATAACCAATTATTCTATTTCACGCACAGATTCCTAATTTTTCAAAGGTACTATTATATTATGTTTTATCAACAAGTCATGTAATATATATTGTTCTAAGATGTTAGGAGATTGCCGCTTCTTTTACTGATCATACTCTAATAACTTCACTAACGTAAACAACAAACGAATAAAATTGCACTGCTTGAAGAAATTAAGCAAGAGTTGAATCAATCAAAGAAATGAATACACAAACATAGATTAAGGATTGTTTCGGATGAAAACAATGGGGGCTTGCCGAAGGCCCACTGAAGTAGATGAAGACTGGTTCAGTCCGATTGATGCTGGGCCGAAGGTTTCCTGCACAACTAAAACACATAAACTGGCCTCGGGGGTGGATCCGAGGAAGACCCCTCCGATGCTGAAGTCAAATAGTGTTTAGAAAGAGAAAGCTATGCAAGAGATTTAATGCTTGAGGCTTTGTTGTGTCTTCTATAAATGAATGAATTGAAGGCTTTTATACCTTTGCACATGATGAGAGGAGAGTAATTGGGCCCTCAAATAGTCATGGGCTGACCATGGCAATTCGGACCAAAGGACTCTTGGTTGACTTGGCTTGATTGGAGGCTCGGGCCTTGACCTTGGAATATTGAATCATTTAGTGACCAGGCCCAATAAGATAATTGGACCCAAATAAATGACTAGGCCCAATTAGATAAATTGGACCCAAACAACTTGCCCCCCAGACCCGATTTGGAAGGATGACGGGTCGGGTTTGAATCCAATAAGAAATGGAGGGAAGTAAATGATTTAATTAAATCAAAAGATTTAAATTTTTAAACAGTTATTAATTAAATAACTGTAATTTGGATAATTAACAGGAAGTGGAGTGGATAGTGGGCGGTTAATCAAGAGAGAGAGTGTTTAACGGTTAATTAAGGAGGCATTTAAGAGAAATTTGAACTTTTCGACCTTTGGGATTCTCCTTCCTGGAATTATAAGGTCTGATTCGCATTTCAACCTCATTTCTTCACCAACTTACACTCAAATTCTCGCGCAAACCCATCTTCGCTTCGAATTTCTAGCGCACCATTCTCGAATCCGAGTTCGACACTCAAATCCATCGCTTCCACTGATTTGACCGGCGTATTCCGGCCAATTTGAAGGTAACTTTCTTCGAGTTTTTTCGATTTTCTTGCCTTTTTTAAGGAAATTCTTCTTCTCCCCTCTTTCCCTCTTTGAATTTGGTTATGGCTCGAGAAAGGAGGCGTCAACCAGGTCGACGGGGTCAGATTAGGGATCCCCGTTACCGCGCCGACGTTTGGAACGGGGAACGAGCTGGTGAAGCCCCGGAAAGGGGGATTCCGGCAGTTCTTTTAAACGCCGCGCCGCCTCAGCAGGACGCCGAGGCCGACGAGGCGGAGCAACCTGAGCAGGGAGAACAGGCTGGGCAGGCCGAAGATTTGCCCCCTGTGCTCTGGGACTTGCTTCCTGGGCATGCTGAATGGCAGGACGCCGAGGCCCAAGACGCCATGGTGAGAAATACCCCATACTCATGGTGGGTTCGGCACGCCGAAACCTACCGGTTCGCCGAGCAAATTGAGTTGCACTACGACATTTTTGAAGAGGATGGGCACTGGTGCCGAATGCCCTCGCCGACTGACAGGATTCACCGTCCCCCTCTTGAGTAAATAGGGGTGTACACTCGGCAATTGCAATACGGGCTTCGGTTTCCTTTGGATCCCTTCGTCAGGGACATTTTAATAAAGTACAGGATCTCCCTGTGCAAATTAACACCCGTTAGCATTCGGCGGGTGATGACTTATCTCTGGGTGTGTCGGTTTTTTTTTGCTGTTGAGCCGAATTTGCACTGCTTCCGAAAGATGCATCAGCTAGTGCAAAACCTTCAGAGTACATACGGCCAACATGGGTCTTCAGGCTGGTGGCGAATAGAGAGCCGCCCCCATTATTTGACTATGTGGCCGAACGACTCCTCGGACAAAGATTGGAGGGGTCAATAGGTCTGGGTGAGAGTTCCCGCTGATCCCGAGCATCCCTATATCTTCGGGGCTCTCCGATACCTCTCCAGGCCTGATCCGAACATGCAGGATTTGGGCCCTGAAGACCCTGATGCTGCTCGTCACCCCAGCTACGAGCAAATGAGCTTCTTCGGGAAGCAGAATAACCCTGGGGGAGTTGGCCGAATGAGATTTATCCCGGCCAGATGGCTTCCAGATAACCATTACGTCTTCCAAGAGAAGATGTTGGCAGTTGTCGGCCTCAGCCGAAAGTACAGGGATGGTAAGTATGTTCGGCTGGGGCCGAGGACTTTGACTTGTTTAATTTTCTGCTTATCTTTGATGCTTATCCTCGTAGTCTAACCTTCGTCTGTTCTTTTCAGAGCTGAGCGAAGCTACTTCGGGGGTTGACTATAACCGGCTTGGGGTGAACGCTGAACGAGTCATTTTAGACCGGGCTCCAGCGATCACAGCTCCGAAGGACCGCCCGCTGCATCTGCACGAAACAGGCCTTCAGATCGAAGCTGCTGCCGAATACACCAAGCAGAAGCCTTGGTGGGAGAAGCGAGATCCCCTTCGACCTTTATTACCTGAGGAAGCACAGGCTGCTCAGACAGCAGCTGACGTGTCCCGAGCAATCGACTCCTTGGAAGGAGGTGTTGGGACATCTGGTGCTGCTGAGAGGGATATCCCCGCATCTGGAGCTCAATCGAGGGTTCCAGTAAGTTCATGACTTGCTCGTCTCTCTTCTTTTTTTTTTTTTTTTTTTTTTTTTTTTTTTTGTTTTTACTCACACTTTGCTGCCTCCCCTTTCTGCAGCCTGAGGAAGGGAGCGAAAGAAGAGAAAGAAAGGCGCCTGCTCGTTCTGAGGATCCATCTTCGTCAGAGTCTGAAGAAATGGACGAGCAGCCCTTAGCAAAGAGGAGGAGAAGGTTAGCCGTGTTGGGGCCTCGTCAGTTTCAGACGGGGATGAGGCCTACCGGGGGCATCCTCATACGGGAGCCTGATGAAGGTAGACGCTCGCCGAGGGCTCCCCCTCCGCCGGAAGCTCCGCGTCCTCAAACCCCCCCTCCACCTACCGAAACTCAAGAGATGGAGGTGGACCAAAGAACCCCTGATCCGAAGGGGGGGTTTCAAGGACGCCCTGCTGAAGAATCTGAGAAGCTGATTGCTGAAGGCTTCTCAGATGATATTGATAGGGAGGTTGACGCTTTTCTTCGTCAACCTGATCTGGGGGAGGAAGCAGAGGAGGTCGTTGCTGCTGACCCTGGTGGAGACCAACTGGGCTCCGCCGAAGGAGAAGGTCATGCCGAGCCTGAGAAGGTTCAGGAGGTTCCCTCTGCTTCCTTCCCCTCATTCCAGACGCTGAACTCTGGAGATTTGGGTTTCTCAGCCCCCCGCATCACAGTCCCGGAACCTGTTTGGGAACGAATTTGGGGCCAGAACCGTGAAGGGGCTGCAGGTTACTTCGGCGACCTATCTAGCATGTCCGAAGTGGACCGAGCAAGGGTGTGGTCGCTGAAGGCCACGACTGGGATGGGAGAATCCAGCCGAAGGGTCCCTGACCCTGCAAGAGACAACCAGCGTTTGCTGATGCAGGTACTTAACCATTTAGTTACTTTGCTTTGCTTTCATTCAGCTCTTTTTCTCCTTTCTGGCTTTCCTTTTTTATTATTTTATTTATTTTAACTGATGTGCCCCTGCAAACAGGTTGTGCACAATCAGACTCTTACTGTAGAGTTGATTGACATCCTCCAAGACAAGCTGGAGCATGCCTGGGAGGATGCAAAGATTGCCCGGGAGGAGGCGAAGCTTGCTGAGCTGAAACAACAAGCTGCTGAAGAGAAGCAGCAACAGAGCGAAGAGTATGAAAAGAGGGCTGCTGAAGCCATTCAAACCTTCTACTCGGCTATGGAGAAGGAAGTTTTTCCCCCGCTGATGGAAGGGGAGAAATTCCTTCAGGAGCAAATGGGAGTGGACATCTCCAAATTTAAAGCTGCCATCGAGAGCCGAATTCAAGAAGGAGCTGCTGCACAAACTGAAGTGCAGCAGAAGCTGGAAGCTCTTGAAGCCAGCAGGATGGCTGCTGAAGAGGCTCTAAAGGTTAGGGATGTTCACCTTTCTGCTGCCCAAGCTGCTGCTGAGGGCCAGGACCAGAAGCTGAAAGAGTTGGAGGATCAGCTGAGAGTCAAGGGAGATGAGCTGACCTAGGCCAAAACCGAAGCTTCCAACGTCCAGCTGGAGCTTAATGAGCAGAAGACTTCTTCCTCCAAACTCTCAGAAGAGTTAGAAAAATCTAAGAAGGATTTGGAGGAGAGTCAAAAGAAGTTGGCCGACGCTGAAGCCTTACTCCAAGTCCGCCTCTACACCCAAGAAGAGTATGAGATGGGCTACATAAATGGGTTTAAGGTGGCTCGGAGGTTGGCTCTCCATGCTGAGCCTTCGTTGGATTGGTCCAAGTGTGCGCTTTGGGCTCAGGACCCCGAAGATCCGCACATGCTGTATGCCACTCCTGCTGAGCATGAGATCCTTCAGGCTGAACAAGCCGAGGAGGAAGCTGAGCGGCAGGAGTTGGAGGCTGAACAGCGAGCCGCTGAAGCTCAGGCAAGGGCCCAACCAGCCTCCTCTGCTGCTGGAACCGAGACTGCCCCAGGGTTTGGCCCGGCTGATCAGCCTGATCCTCCAACTGAAGCATAGGAAA